GGGGGGGGGGAGAGAAAGATCAAATCTTTTCCAGTGCATCTACTGCCAGTGCCCTGTGGGGCCTGGCAAGGGGGAATATGTATACTTGGCAGGTCATTAATCTGTCTGACTTTCTTTGCTAACCTCAGCTTCATACACTAAAAGCAACAGTCACAAGAAGCACTTCAATGCACTTTGAGACCAAACAAGTGGCAGGCTGCAGACATTCTTCCCCGTTCCTCAATCTCTAAGGACAAGCCAGGATCAAACTGCATCTCACCCTGACTTCTAGCAAGCTTATGTGCTGGGTTCACACCAACTGGGTCATTATTAGTGTTCCCCCCTTGCTATCTGGGAACCTAAGTATTCTCTGAGCAGTGACTGCATTTCCAATTACCTACTTACTACACCATGGTTTGTAAGGAGGGTTGAGCTTGAAGACACCCCCCACCCCACCCCAATTTCGGGTTTTCAGGTAAAAACCCTACAGTTGGAATTAGTAAAGGATTTCAGAAACACTTGCACCAATATCTCAAGAGTCCTCTAGCCTTCTCATACCCTATAGATGCAACTTCACGTCACTGCCACTAGCCTGCCCAGAAGAGTTTCAGCTGAGATACCAGAGAAGACAGTTTAATTTCCAAAGAGTCTCTGGGAGAGAAAAGATACCAAGAGATCTTAAGATAAAAATCCATATAATCACTGTTAATAATTAACAACCACAATCAGAATAACAACTTATTCTTCAGATAAAATTGGCAAGCATCATTTTTTATCATTAAAACAAACCTTGTGGCTTACTGCATCCCCCCTTTCTCCCCCCTTTTTTTTTTTTTTTCTTAATCTGCAACTGACATTGAAAATGCAGGTACTGGCAACTTACTTTTCAATATTAACAAGCAAACAGAATTCTTGATGCCAACAGGTTTTTTCCAACAGTACTGACTGAAACAATTACATATAAAGTGTGCTTAGCCCAGTGAAGCAGAGCAACAGTAAATAAGGACTATGGTTTATTCATTTGCTTCAAACCTAGAGCAACAGCACTCTGCAAAACCAGTAAGCCTAAACTCTTGTTTGTATTTCAGGACAAGAGCTGTGAAGTTACATTGTAGATAAGGGGGAGACTGAGGTTTGGGAACACAGTGTACACATAAATCTCAACTTCATGGTTAAAAAAAAAACCAAAACCACAAATATTAAAAGAGTGTAAGCAATAAAATTTATGACAACCTAAGACAACAGAATGTCTTAAATAGTTCCATTTATAGTACACAGGAGCTAAAATACCAAGGGCTTTAAGGTAAATTCTGACTCAATGGGGATATTATCACAAGACATGTCAAGCCACTTCGAATACTGCAACAGCTGGGCAATCTTTCAGCTGGGAAATCTCCTCTCCCCCCAAAATGAAAAACACCCTTTCCTGTCTTTTTTTTTAAAAAAAAACCTAATGTGAGGGAAACCAAGTACAAACATTTGCTGTGGGATTTTTTCCAATACAGATGAATTTTCAGACTGCCTACTTTTATATGTATTATGAAATATGTATTCCCTAGTAAGTAAGAAAAAAAATACAGGTAGTTGTATATACCTTTCAACATTCAGACAGTTCAGTTATGGAAGTTCAGAGCTGTGGAGTATCTACAGCAATAGAACTTAAAAGTCTGAGTGGACAGTAAGGCAATGCAAGTATAGCTACTGAGAAAAAAACTGCATCTACATCTCTGTAAACCTTCACACACTACCATCAATTTAGTTCCTAAGATACAGGTTTTTCACTTATGCCATGTACTGAGCAGGACTAAATATTTTATTCAGAAATGCAATAAATTACATTATTTAAAAAACCTGAAATAAGTAACTGCATAAGCAAAAGCAGGAATTCTTGTTTTTTTCCGAATCCATTCCTGACTGTAGCAAGCAAGTCAATGCATATGTCAGCATCTCATTACTATGACCCAGCTGCTTGCATGTCTACTCAGTGGGTAGTTGAAAAGTTGGTGGGTTTTTTTTGACATACATCTTGTTTTGAAATCCAGCATTCATAAACATTTGTTAAATTACCACCTAAAGCAATTTATTAAGAGGAACAGCTAGCACCAAGAGCTGCTTATAGCAGGACAAATTTTAGTAGACTGCCTTCTTAACCAGATTTTAATCAAAAATTGTACGAGGAAGGGTAGATATATAAATGCCAATGCATTTTGTTCACAACATCCAAACACATGGTTATTTTGGAGCCTTAAATACTTCTGGGCTTGATTCACTGGTGGTGTGCCCTGTACGGCTGCAATTTAGCAACTGAGAATTTGGTATAGAAGCCAACAGTACCAAATCCGAACAGCAGATTTTGTACTTGTTTTGCAGTGGTCTGAAAGAACATAGGTAAACAAAAAAAGACTTTTTGTTTATTCAGTCAAGTTTTACCTTGGGTATCCCCCAAAAGATCTGAAAATGGGTTTATGAAATTGGATTTAAAAGGAAAAAACAAGTCAGACACAACAACATGTTTTCTCAGGAATGACTGAGCTTCCCTTACTTTGCACATTGCTTTCATACTGGGTTTCACTTAATTTCAAAAAGAAACAGTATGCCCTTCTTGCTAGATATTTGTATATTACTTACTACAGAAAAGCTGACTTTCAATAGCAGATGAGCTGGCCCAAAGCTTTCTGGCAGCACAATAAAACTCAAGTTTTTCCACCCTAAGGAGGAGAAGCCCACAGTGTTTCTTAAGGCAGGAAGGAGCGTGGCTTGGGGAGGGTACTCCAGGGCCAGGCTCATGCTTTTTCTGCTGTTGGGAGACAAAAGATAACCAATGGGGCACTGCTCTTCCCAGCCCTCAGCAGGAAACTATCAATTCACACAGCCCTTTCCACTGGCACAACAGGAACAGTGGCATCAGCTTCCAGCTACTCACTGCCTGGGTGATGCCACCTGTGCTGGATGAAGATAAGGCTGGAGCACATCAGCAGTGGCAAAAGGGAAGGTGTCAAGGGACAGGAGTTCATGAGGCACTGGCTCTGATCAACAGCAACAGTGACAGGTAACCTTCCTAATCATTCAGTTTTTTGCTTTGGAAGTTCACAGGCCTTCCCATGCCTTCTTGACAAGCCGCAAAGCAATGGAGGCTGATCAGACTTACTCACTGACAGAATAGAACCAGCTCTCAGAAAAATGAGACAATCAGTTTTGTTCCACCTCAGGCATATGCCCCCCTTCTCCAGATTTTCCTGATGCAGAATCTCAGAAAACAGGAGAGTTTTATTTGGTCGCCTGAACTCTCACTCTTGTACATTCATGCTCACATTAGTGAGAAAAAATATATCAGTTCATTAACTTGAGGTAAGACTCTTAAGCTCTTCGTACAATGCAGTACCAAGAGAACATTAAACAGACAATAAACATTGCCAATCACATTATTTATAAATGCTTTCTAATCCCAAACAGAATTAGCTGTATGTACATGGACAAAATATAATCAAGTATCTCCTATACACTTTCTGATCTCTAAAAAAGAAAAATGATTAAAAATTCATTAAAATAAATACATTCATTATTTGTCCATGTTCATCACCTAACTGATGCTAAAATTCCACTTGCTATCTTAAGACTTCTACCAACATTCACAGAACATTTAACCCAGTACTCCTCTCCAGACTGTTCATAAGATCTTGGAATCACTGCCTGCTTTGTTTGTGAAGCAGACCTGCTGGGTTCATTCATCTTCCAATATGCCAAATTTTTGTTTTTCCAGAATGAAATTGGAATTATATAAAAATACAACAGCCTGCATAATCCATCTTGCATTTTTCATTTGTTTTTCAAAGAGGGAGGGATTTAGAAATGTGGTTTAAAACATTTTGTTTGACCAAGACCATCCACAAATATAATTCTTGAAGCACTCTGCAATTCAGCTATCACTGAAATTAAAATCAGTTTTATATTCAGTATGGAAACATTCATCTTTCTGAATACAGAAAATCTGCTGTTTCCACAGGACACAAACATTAAATCAGTCAGATCACCAATCATGCTGCTGTCTACCCATTTGTTACATTCTCAGATGAGCTGCAGTGAATAGAACAACTGGAAGGTCACAGTTACTAGGAAAGAAGAATTAGGGTTGAACAGAGTAGAAAGAGTACAGGAACCATGTTGAATTTATTAAATTAGGGCTTTCTTTGCTTGGGGGTAACAAAAAACTTTTAAGTCAAGTCACATGCAGTACTGTTCCTACCTTGAATCCAATCCTTTTGATAGGCAGCTCACCAACTCATATTCACTCCCATGAATCAAAGACTGAAGAACTACAGTCTAGCCTCAGTAGGTAGACAGAAACAATGCATTCTAAAAACTGCATTTTGGATTGAAAATAGCCTTATATTTACAAGAAAAACATTGAGGGTCTTATGAAAGCTAGTCTGTTTCTAACACACAGGGTGAACCAATTTCTGAAGCGTTACAGCCGAGACACGCCAATCCTCCACAAGAGGAGGTAAGATTTTTTTTTAGGAAAGTTCCTGCAGAGCAGTAGTCACTTGACTCCAAGGGCTGAGGAAGACCAATAGAAGTATACCACTTTACCTTTGTAATTCCGTAAGTGCTCGACTTGTGGATGGGCTAGGGTTTAGCCTCAGGAAGTTCTGCTTTAAATTGAGATGGGTGAGGTCTTGGCTATAAAACAGGTTGGCAGGCAGGTGCTCCAGGCTGCAGCATGAAAGATCCACTGAGCTTATGCGTTGTGATGCAACCTGGAAGTCAAGAGGTACACCAATATGTTAATACTGTAATAAAACAAGAACATTTGCTTAAGCACAGAAGTAGTCAGTGTTGGCATATATGGCTGATCTAACAAAGTTTACATCATTGCTGCAAGTTATGCCATGATCTCTTGCTTAGCCTCAGTGCTAAAACCAGGTCCATAGATGAGTAGCAGGGGGAAATGCACAAAAATTTGTCAAACTAGTGAGTGATACGGATTAATTTTCATCAGTGAGGTTATGCGATATTCTACAACCAGGAAAAAAAAAAAAAAAGATGAAGAGATTTGACATAAACTTTACATTAGTCTTTTAGTTAGCAAGTAACAGCAGCAAAACCAGTCTTCTATACTGCTGCATGACTGGTCAGTATACGTGAGTGGAGGTGAGAGGATAATAATCACCCTGTCTCAGTTTCAAGGATCAAGAGCAGATATTAAATGGCAGAAGAAAGTGTTATCCCATTCCTCTCTTACTGGAAGAAAGGAAAAAAAAAATCATAGCAGCAAAGCACCAAGCACTCATCTCAATGAATTAGAAAACCATCCAAGAATGATAAAAATGTGACGACAACAACAAAACTGAGATTTGGGATTTAACACTGTTTTCTAGAAAGGGGAAGATAAAGTAAACAGTGTCAGAGGCTAAAGAAGTAATATCAGCTAGCACTACAAGTAGCTAGCATCGTTCAACAGAGACCTGTAAGCAATAAATTCAAGTAACAGCAACTGTGGTCCTTACCAAATCTCTAGGATACAGCTGGGTGAACTACATCCTGCTACTCTGCTTATTCACTAATCTCTAAAAAAACCCAACCAGCCAAAAAAAACCCACTGCAATGTAGAATTCCTGTATATTCTGTCCAATATAATTTAAAATACCCTTTTATAGAGTTGTGGAGCTAGTGACATGACAAAGCACCAACACACAGTAGTACAAGGCAGCACAGATGGTGGGCAAGGAGGATGGGTTAAATGCTAGAAGGATGAGAGAACGTGTTTTTAGATGAGGCATGGCTTAGATCAAAGGAGGAGAAGCAAACAACTTCACCACTATTTTAGACTTCTTGGACTGCACAAACAGTGCACAAACGGTTACATGTTCTGTCAGCTGCTCACTGCAAGAGAAGCCATCATTTCATTTGGTCATTGGCACTTCTACTGGCCTCACATGCTATGATTCTGGAAGTACAAACATTACATCTAAGGGACAGCAAAAGGAAAACACCCAGCAACTATGAGTGCCCAGTGGCAGTGTATAAGAGCTTCTGAACTGATGAAGGAGACTTTACCCAACCTTCTGAGAAGAGATATAACCCTTGCCATAAAGTACCCTGAGCCTAGAGACATCAGATTTTGCTAGCACTGAAATAGCTTGCCACTGAAAGGAAGGCCAAGAGCTTTTCCTCCCTTTTTTTTCTCTCCAATGAAAGCTACATGGCCTCAGGGTAAGTGGTCTCTATTATAAACACACAACCATAAGCTTCAAGAGGAACAGACGGTGTGGTGTTTTTCTCTAACACAACCATTAATAATCCAGTCCTCCCACATCCATTAAAATGCTCCAATTTTTGTTACTCAATTAGTTCAGTCCTTTTGTTACTGTAGCTACTATTTTTTCTTCCCCTTGTAGTAGGAAAGAAAAATTATTCATAGGGTATTCTGAGCAGTCATTTCTGAAAGCTAGATATTCACTCTGTTTATGTGCCATAATCTGCCTGGTACAGTGCAGTTCTCATCACACTGAACACACAAGAGATGAAAAAATGCTAACAACAATTAAATTAAAAGGAGAATGTAATTTCAGGTGTAATGCTTACATACAGTGTTGCTCCAACTATTTGTTTGGAATGTGATACAAACAGTAATAAGCAACCCAGCAGTGCCTAGCAAGGCATGTTATTCTAAAAATATCTAAAGTACCTGAACTGGTAAATGTATGTGAATCATGTTAAAGCAGCCAAACAAATCAAAATTCTACTTTAGTTTTAAGAAAGCATGCAAATCTTTTCTTAAAATCATTAAGCCATGTGGGAAAAAAATCAAGTAAACAAAAAGTAGGTTTGTTTTTACAAGTTGTATGTTCTGGTTATTTTTTGCCTTTTTTTTTTTTAAAGGAATCACTTTGTTATATGAAGAATTTAACTAAGATTCTCATGCAACTGACATATAATGAATGATGCCTCTACCAGAGAGATAACTATAAAAGTTGAAACCATATTTTAAATGGTGTTAGGTCTGCAATCAACTATAATTTTATTGAAGTCTTTTTTGTTAGCAAAACAGTACTCTAAGAATTAACTTCTGAATTGTTATAACGAATACTCATACAAAGTTATTTTCACAAGCAGGGAGGAAGACTTTTCATTGCTCAATATTGTTCTGTAAAAAATTATTAGAGAACAGAGGAACAAGATGAAAAACAAAAGAGAGTGACAACAGAGAACATCATCTTAACAATACTTTCTTTGGTTCACCATAAACTTTCACCAGTTGTTTTGAAGTTGAAATTCTGGTTACATTGTTCCCAAACCAAACAATAAAGGGATATTTCAATTTTACAACTGCTTTTAATTGACGTAAATGCAGTAAGATTGTGCTTCTATATGTTTGCAATTGTTTATTAAGAGCAAAGCATTTTTCTAAAAGATGATACAGTTTTTAATAAAGCACTGGGTTTCCTTGACTCACTGTGGAGAACTGGGTTGACATAGTGCTTAGCGATATGGTGTAGTTGAGAATGGTCTAATGGTTGGGCTAGATGATCTTCAAGGTCTTTTCCAACCTAGATGATTCTGTGAATCACTGCAGAGATAAGCTGATAAAGGATAAGGAAATGCTGAGTAGTATATCCCTCATAGTCAAAGAATAAAAAGCATCCAGATGAAGGGACATTATTTGAAGAAAATAGGGTTTCCACTGGAATTAAAAAAACCCCAAGGCATTCTGCTGTAAATAAATACCCCAACAAGTTATCTTGGCTGGGTTCAACTGACCTGTGCGCCAGCAAAAATAGTGGAAAGTCAGCGAGTTAACAATGGTAGAGGGAAAGGCTATCTAGATACACGTGGAACCTGCATCAAGCACTCATTATGGCTTGTTCAGCATTTTCTTATGGGAAAAGTTAAAAGTATAACTATTTTATATGCTTTAAATACATAAAAATAAAACACGAGCAGCACAATTCACGATTCCCCTGGTGGAAGCAGCCATTGCTCAGACCAACCCCTCTGGAACATCTCATCACATCCTAAACTGCATATATCCTTAATGCTTGTTTCCACATGAAACCCACCACTGTTGCATTTCCAGTACTCATAATGTGAGGGAAATGGTTGGGGCAATACCCTTCTTTGAAGATGGTGTATGACACCCTCTCAGCTACGGCAGCTACAGCATAATTGGTAGAGTCAACACCCATCTTTGTGAGAGAAATAAAGAGATGAAACAGTTTGGCAGCAGGGTAGCTCAAACACATAGGAACATCTTGTACTTTCTGAAGTCCGGTTTTCAGCTAGGATTTTTAATCATCACAAATATATAAGAAACAAGATTAAACATGTGGTTTTCTCCATTCCTGGGTATGATGTTTAAACACTTTATGATCAATCGTTGTACTGCAATGTCTCCCACTGTAATACCAGAGGAGTAGTAATGGGGTACGGTCAAATTCAACTTTGCACATCAAACTGCAAAGTCCAATGCAAGACTTCTTTTCCAGTTCCTATTGCAATCTCAGTTATGCAGCCTTGGCCTACAGTGCTTTAATTTCTTTTTTTTTTTTTCCAGTCTCCATGCGAGTATGGCATACTGAAGTACAGTTTCAAAGAAGTGGTATACAACTATAGCACATGTGCTACAAAAAGCCCTGGATCTACCCACTGCAAACACTAAAAAGCTGTCACTGTGCTTTTAATCTTCACCCCGCAGCAATAAAATGCAGCTTTATTCTGTGAATACCACCACAAATAATGCTACCGGAGAGGTCTCCCTCTCCCATGGGCAGTATGTCTTCTGCTGCTCCCCACCTAAGAGCTGCACACGTGGCAAAGAACTAGAGTTTCCCAAATACCAAAACTCACTTTTAAACACGTGTTACTTGTGCCATGATAGTACTTACAAGTATAAGCAATGATTCAAAAAGCCAACAATACCTTAAAAAAGAAAAAAAAAAGGTTTTGCCAAGGTGTTTCGATTTTAATTTTATTATTCTTTTCAAAAAGGAAGCTATTTCAAGATTGGTGAAGGTATGGTATGGGTTCACTGTAAATCTTTAGCAGCTGACAACAAAAATAAAGGAAAATACTTGTATCAATCAATATTCTTGCCTCTTCTTGCTACACAGGGCTAAAAAACCACTTTGCTTTGTCCATCAGTATAATGCCACCTCTGTCACTGAGCTATGCAACAAGACTGATTACTGTCTTTGTTTTAAAGCCTTGGCTATGCTACAAAAATGATCTGTTGCTGACAATGGATGTCAGCAATAGACACAGCTGAAGGCAGCTGTATGGACAAACACAAGCCTTGTTTACACAAGGACATCTTTTGGTGTGACCTGTGGTGTGAATTTAAACCAATGTAATTATGTGTTTTTCCTGTTTACCCTCATCCCATTCCCTATAGCTCTATTCAGATAAGAAATTACTATTTAGGACTTCAATAGAAGACAATTAAAATAACTACACAGCCCACACTGTACAGGCAGCCAAATTCCCAGTCTGTCTGAACTGAGTTGACCATGTCAAATTACACCTGCTGTAGACATGCTAATGTAAAGGCACTGTAATTTTTCTTCTTTAGGATTTGTTTTTAAACAGTTTAATAATCACTACATCCCACCAATGCCTGCATGAGGCTTAACTAAACAGTGATAAATACGCTTGAAATATCTAAACTAACTGCTTAGAGCAAACAGGTTCTCCTCACCTTAGACCTAACCTTGGTTCAAATCCTAATCCTCCTTTCTCTTTCAACATCAAAGCCCCACTC